TTGACCCCTATAGTAGGTGTTTTGTTTTTTTTACTTCCATAATATTTGAGGGAGGGGGGCACAACAGTACAATACTGCTTAAGTCACCCATTTGACCAGCGGCCCTGCATAACATGCTCAGGATGTTCACTGTGAAGAGGAGCGTGTGAGTTTAGAAATCTTTTGAACAATCAATGGATAGGAAAATTTCTCTATACTAATTGATTGTTGCATGCCCATTTGTGTTAGTTGTTATAGAGGACTGTAGATGACCATATATGGTGTTTCTTGAGCTTCAAAATAAAGGTTCCAGCTAATTAAAAAAAAAAAAAAAACCCCGAAGAATCTCTTTGTTTGCTTGTGAGGTAAAGGGATAGTTCACCCAAAAATCACCAAGTTGTTCCAAACCTGTATGAGTTTCTTTCTTCTGTTGAGCACAAAAGAAATCCAGAATGTAAAAACATATATGGAAGTCGATGGCTACCGTCAACTGTTTGAGCTCTACAGGAGAAAGAATATCAAAAATTTTTGGGTGAACTATCCCTTTAAACCCATTAGACTAACTAAATTATAATATATGTTGTTGTTTTAAAGTTAAATAATAAATAAGAACTTTTTTATATATTATTTTTTAACAATAGACAATGGAAAAATAAACATGAGAAAATATATAACATTTAAGAGAATGATGTGCCATGTTTTATATATTTATTCTTATTGTTTGATTCTCTTTTGTTTTCATTTTATTTTCTTATTAGTTGTTTTATTTTCTTTTATTGTTCCTCTTTGTATTGTATTATTATTTTAGTTCTATTTTTTATTCTTTCATTTTGTTTTTACTATTTTAATTTATATAAGCGCTTGTGAACACTATTTTAAAGTTGACATGGAATTTGTTTGAAAATTATTTTCTAAATGCATGTTTTTAATCATATTGTGAATGATTCATTCACGCATGTTTATTTTTTAGCATTTTTTTCTTAATTACTTACATTTTTTTTAACCATAATTTTTAATCAAGATGTCAATAAATCACAAACTTCTCTCTGTATGCCTGACTTCTTCAATCATTTCGCCCTCATAAACCCTGTCCTTTTCTTATAATCAACTGCAAGTTGTCATTCAGATCTGCAAAAACCGATGGATTTATCCAAGTCATTTTTGTTATTTTCAATAATTCAGTCTCATATATACATCACAATACAGGAAATATCTGTCGCTATTTCAGTTATATTGTAACCTGAAGCAAAATGTGAATTAATCTTCACTAAGCTAGACGTTACTTATTAAATCAAGTCAAATTTTATGGTTTGTGAAAAATCTGACTTTGTATTAGAGTGTTTTTCTAGCATTACCATTATAAAGCATCGCAGGCTGACCATTCATTTGATCATGCCTGTGACTCCGAATCATGAAGCCTGCTCTTTGATTCACGCTGGTAAACATGATCTCTGTGTGCTTTGATGAATGAGTAGACTCGCTCGCTCGAAAGGGGGCTTCATATTGTGGTGATTGCTTTGCTCCTTACTGAAATGTTTTCTTGTGTGTTTGTGGTGGTGTTATTTTCTACCCATTTCCTGTTCTTTTTTCTTATCAGCACTTATTACGTTTCCAGGGTTGAGGTGTGTGCTGGCTTTCCTCTTGCACACACACACACACACACACATACACACACACTCCTTTACAGTTCTGTCCAGGCACAGCTGTCTACTCTAAGATTGCTTTAGCCACAGAAATTGATATCATTTCATGTTAAATAAAGAAATAATAATAATACATTTTATTCATAGCATGCTTTACCTTGAAAACCTGAAGCCTCTGTACTAACCTGAAGTCTTTGATTACTCATTGATTGCTGTAAAATGAGTGACGAGGCAGGTGCACATTTCATATTTGTTTGCTCTTCATTCAATTCATATAAATATGATTAGTTGATAGCTTATAATATTTTACCACTGCAGTTTGGTCAATTAAAGATATAGACCAGTACTGTAACCACGTTAAATGCTCAAATATATTTAGTGGCCCTGCTAGTAGATGTATTAACTATATACTCTCCGGTCTAAAAATATCTTTCCTCATTAATAATGGCCATTCAAAATGAACCCTTATATTATTAAAAAGTAGAGTTGGTTTTTTTACCAGTGAAAATTTTTTTGTAGGGTGCTTAAAAGCATGAAATGGTCTTATATTTCCCCTGCTCTCTTTGACGTCACAGCTCAGAATGTCACCAGTGAAGGGCTTGAGACTGTGTGTGTTCTTGTGTTGTCATTCACCAATCAGCATTGTCATCACATAATATTCATGTGTTTGCAGAATAATTAGTCACATGATGTTTGCAGGATTAGTACAGGTTACTGCGTATGTGCATGTATATCATATATGCCAAACAATGCCTTATTTCTTTTAATTTTCAAACAATAAAAGTGTCTTTCCCTTGTCACTGTATATCTATCAAATATTATTACTTACAAAGATATTCAGATGGATGGATGAATGGGGTGATTGATGGATGAATGGGTGGATAGATGGATGGTGGGTGGGTGAATGAATGGGGTGATGGATGGATGGATGGGCTGATTGATGGATAAATGGGTGGATGAATGGGGTGATGGATGGATTTAATTGGCTGATTGATGGATGATTGGGTGGGTGGGTGATGGGTGATGGATAGATGGGTGAATGAATGGGCTGATGGATGGATAGATGGATGTGGAGGTGCATGGGTGGGTGGATGGATGGACTGATGGACAGATAGGTTGGCTGTTGGTCGGATGGATGCATGAATGAATGGGGTGATGATGGATGGATTTAATGGGCTGATTGATGGATGAATAGGTGGATGGAAGGATGGATGGGTAATGACAGATGGGTGAATGAATGGGGTGGTGGATGGATGAATGGGTGGATGGATGGGTGATGGATAGATGGGTGAATGAATGGGGTCATGGATGGGTAGATGGGCTGATGGATGGGTGATGGATAGATGGGTGAATGAAGGGTGATGGATGGATAGATGGGCTGATTGATGGATAAATGGGTGGATGAATGGGGTGATGGATGAATAGATTGATAGATGGATGTGCAGGTAGATGAATGGGATGATGGATGGATGGATGGATGGATGAATGGGTGGTGGGTGGGTGGATGGATGGATGGATGGATAGATGATATGAGCTGATGAAAGGATGGATGGGTGGGCAGATGATGTTTGAGATAGATAGATAGATAGATAGATAGATAGATAGGGCTTTGCTGTCTGCTTGAAAGTCATTGTAGAAGTATTTTCCTCGTATGTAAAAATAGCAGTGAGGTCGCCTCGCTGCTGGTGAAGTGATATTCTCTAATGACTGCACCTGATCCGGCGCTCACCTGCGGATGAATGACAGTAGCTGTAGGCTGGACCCGCTGACTAATGACTCCAGCAGCGCTCACTCACTCAGTCAGTCAGTGTGTTATGGGTTAATTCATGTTCTGTGAGGAATCTATCTGCTTCTTTCTCAAAGGAACCTGCTATTTCTTGTTTTGTGGCCGTTAATGCCCACCAACAGCTCGTGGGCAACAATATCCAGCTGGACTGCTGGTTTGACAGCGATGTTTATTGATTGTTTTTATGAGGCTCGCGTGTGTGTGGCAGTCGAAATCTATGAGCAGCTTTTTGCTATGTGAATCAATTAAACTCGGGAATTATGAGCTGGAATTCGCTTAAGATCATGGAAGGAGGCTACTGAAGAATCCAGGGACTCATTAGAGCTGACTGGAGTTGGAGGAAAAGTACAACTGGTTTTATTGCTTTCGCCTGGAAGTCGGACGTTTTTTTTTTTTTTTTTTTCCGGATAACAATCGGGATAAGGACCACTGTCCACTGCTATTCGCACCAAATGGCTAAAAATAATAATGTGTATAATCGCGAATGAGATCTGGAGAATTTCCTCACAATTGAGCGACAATCCATGATTCAGATTTCAGCAGCGGGATAATCTGGATCCTGTAGCGACATCGGCTCGGATCATCAGCCCATCGGGATCTGAGGGATCACTTTCAAAGACCGCCCATCATCACCACTAAAGGTAAGAGCTTGTGTTTGAGAGTTTATAAATCAAACGTTTGAAGTGAATTTGAGTGACATGAAGGCTTTGATGGGCAGCATGATTTCATAAACGGCAGCCTACATTTTCGCACCTGTTGTTTTATACGGACTGATCGGTCAAACGGAAGGTTTATGATTTATTTACTGTCATATACAACTCGACTTTGTTGTATGTGACAGGCGTGCTAAATTATTAATCTTTTTTTACTGATTTTAAACATCCATTATTTAATTTATTAAAACATTGTAAACCATGATGATGATGCTGCTGCTGATATTATTAATAATAATAATAATAATAAATGACAGAAATGTAAGATGTCTTTTTTGTTTTTAGTATTAGGCTATTATTATTATTAATATTATTTTAATTAGTTTAGTTTATTAGAAGTAATAATTTTCTTTTTACCTTTAAGTATGTCTTATTTTTTAATTTTAAGGATTTATTTTATTTTTAAATTATTATTATTATTACTGCTGCAGTTGTTGCTGTTTTTTTATACTATGGATGTCTATAATAATAATAATTATGATTATTATTATAATATTATTATTTGTTATAGCTCTGTAATTTAAAGCATGCCTTATCTTTTTATATTTATCTATTTTAAAATGTATTTAAAATTATTCATCATTATTATTGCTGGTATTAATGTTGTTACTTATTATTTTTACTATGGACGTCTATTCCCAAAAGCTGTGCAAAACACAAACAACATGTATAATTCATTGTTGGCACGCAGATGGCAGTTTCCAGGCAAATTATTCACCTTAGTCTCATTTGACAAGTCAGGTGGTGCCCAGCCAACACCCCCTTCGGGGAAAAAAAGTGATGGACATGCTAATGACTAGAGAACCTGGAGGAGCGTGTGCAGTGTGAGAGAGCAGGAGTGGCGGTACGGTCCGGGGGGCTGGTCAGCAGTGTGTGTGTGTGTGTGCGCTCTCAGCGGAGGTGCAGAGGCAGGACTACTTATGTCACCGAGCCACTGTTATTATGAGCCCACCGATGACACCAGAGTGTGACATGAGGGAGATGCTGACCGGCTGAAGGGATGAATGAACGCATGAATGACTGACTACCTGCTCCGGGCTGCTGACATCTTAACCAGGGGTTTCTGGGCACTCTATGCTGCTCGGGGAGAGGACCAGCGCTGGGACGTAGTCAGGCTGTGGCTCAGTTGTGCTCCGAGCCTGGAGTGCGCCGTCAGATGGAGGTCACCGATCTGGATCCGGACCCTCGGGCGGAGGGGTCTGAAGGAGAGGGTCCGTGCGTCCCGAGCAGTCCCGGGACAGAGCCTGTTGTGCTTGAGTATCCTGTAGAGTATGATCCATATGGGTAAGCAACAGGGACCACTGCTGTCGTCCCGGGATCTTGCTGCTTTCACACTTTGGCATGTAGGGAATGTGTTTAAAGCTGCTTTTTTTGGTGGTATGTGCTCTGATTTTAATGTTAAACTTGTTTTTGCTTTAATGAGAGTGGGATGAGCATGAGATGTCCTGCTTTGATACTTCTGTTTTGGTATGTGTGTGATCACTGGCTTGATTTGTATTGATTTTAATAACTTGAAATGTATTTATGCTCGAGTCTGTCCTTCGAACCGGAGGTTGCCTTTGTAAGAGGTTTAGATTGGATTATTTTGACATGATGTGGAATGACATTTTGACACTGGACTTTTTTTTCACTGACTTTGTGAAACACTGCGCCCTGTGATTTGATTAAAGGATGCAGACCTTTTCTTGTTCATGTAATGTTTTTGACTCTTGTGAGCAGGAAGATATGGCTGAGTGCAATTTTTTATTAATTAATGAATTCATCTCTCTTTTTATGGTATTTAAGAAATGCATTTTACGCTTGTATTTTTTATTTTTAATTGCAATTCGATGGCTGTTTTCTAGGAAACTTAGAATGTGATGTGGCACTGCCGGATTGGAACGTTTTGCCCTCAGTTGAACACGTTGTGATCAATTCTGCCTTCACCTCTTAGTTACACTCTTTATGTCCAGACACTTCATTATCCCTCCAGAACAGAACACTCTGTTTGCAATGGATAGTTGACATTACATGCCAACCAGTGTCCTATAATGTGATATGCTGTACTGCACCTAAAACTATTTAACTGTTACTTGGACTAAAAAACTGCGATCTAATTCAGTATAATCATTAAAAATGCAGGTTCTATGACCTTGCGACTACGTTGAACATTTGTACTTTTATCCAGGACTATTTAAGTGAGAGATGTGCCGACTGGCCAACAATGTTTTGTTAATATTAATGTTATATATATTTAAACTGCCGTAAATTTGTCTGTATTTTTGTTTTGTTTTTGAAAAGTCTCTTATGCTCACCAAGGCTGCATTTATTTGATCAAAAATGCAGTAAAAACGGTAGAATATTGTAAAATATTATTACAATTTAAATCTATTTTAATATATTTTAAAACCTAATTTATTCCTGTGATGCAAAGCTGAATGTTCAGCATCATTACTTCAGTCTTCAGTGTCACATGATCCTTCAGAAATCATTCTAATATGCTAATTTGCTGCTCAAGAAACATTTCTTATTATAAATGTTGAAAACAGTTGTGCTGCCCAATATTTTGTGTAGCTGTGATAAACTTTGATGAATAGAAAGTTCAATAGTACAGCATTGATTTTTGAAATAGAAGTCATTTGTAACATTATAAATGTCTTTAATGTCACATTTGATCAATTTAATGCATCTTTCACTAAAGACAAATGGTGCAGAAACAATTTTTACTCAGAAATTCCTAGTAAATTTCACAATTGATTACAAAGAAATTAGTATTTTATGTACAATATATTTAAGTAATCTTTGTAATATTTACAACTATGAAAAATAGTTTTTTTTAAAGTGTTGCTTAAATTATGAATTCTTCTTTTTTTAACTGACCCCAAACTTTTGAATAGTGTATAATATAATATAAAATGGGTATATAATTGAAAATCTAGGCTCTTATATGTATAACTGTATGTGAATGCTAACGTAAAATCTAAATGTTCACATCTGTGTTATTGGTTAACTACCCCATCTACTTTGATTAAAACTTTGATTAAAACAAACTACAGAGTATCTTAAAATGTACCAGATTAACTGATGCATTTTTTAAAAATACTTCAACTTACTTTTTTTGCCAATTGCAGTCCCTTTGGCTTTATGCAGTTGTCATTTACACTTGGCAGTTTATCATGTGAAAAGCACGGCAGGTAAATTAGTCATACTTTCCCCTTGGACATACTCCGACTGTCAGGCTTAGCCCTAGGGATTCTGGGTTTGGATATATACAGTAATAAAAATGCATAGAGATATGTTTTTGCAGACAAACTTGCTTTTTTCGTTTTTACATGTCATCCTATAATGTCTTGTGTAGTCAAAAGGAAACCGTTTTGGACAGCAAAGTTCATTTTCCTCACCAAGTTTCTATACCATTTAAAATGTGTATTTATAATTGTGATTAGGGATGCACCGATACTACTTTTTACCGATACTTTTATTTTTGGTACTTGCCGATACCGAGTACCGATACCGATATTTTTATTGCATTTGTACATTTTTTAAATACTGGGTACAGAAACCAAGAGTATGTATAATGTTAGTTGGTTAACTTCATTTATCAAATAGATAGTCAAACCAAAATTTATTCAGACACCTTCAAAATTTTTCACATTATCACAGTTTATTCGCTATAGTTTAGAAAATGGTAATAAAATATGACAAGAACTCAGAGTTAAACTGTGTCAGAACAAATTCATCTTGATAATGTTAGATAATTTTGATAGAAAGGTATGTAATAGATTACAATCAACCAAAAATAATTCAGACAGCTGTTAGTATGACAGTATTTACACAACTAGCAATACTTAGTCGGGCAACCCTTAGCCTCAATGACAGCCTGTAGTCTCCTGGACATGCTGTCACCCAGCTTCATGCAAACCTCAACTTACGTGTTTTTTCCCCAGACTCGGTCTGAATAATTTTTAGACCCAAATTT